ATCATTGAAAGTGGTAGCCAGAGAAAGACATAACAAATGATAACTTTTGCAATAAACCTCCCAGGTATGGGAAGCTTTTCTAGCAAGTGTGAGAACTTCTATATTATTCTTGATGAACATATTGCACGCTACACAAAAAACCCAAGTAGGATCAGATTTATTCAACTCAGTTAAGATACCTGTTTCTCGGATGAGTTGCACTCTTCACTCAACGTTCGACTCAAATCGAAGGTCTTCGAAAGACGATCCGCCAGATAAGGCTTTCTTAAACGGTAAAGTTCTCCGTAGTGGCCCCCTTTTGATCTCGGCGGATTTGCACCGAAGATCCCTTGCACGTATTAGCATTTTCTCACACTCTTCACAATAAAATGTAGATTACAACTATCTTGATTAACTAGTTTTCCACTTTCAACGCAACATTGAAAAAATCAATTCATTTACGTTAGTTTCTTTGTTGTTTTTTCTTTTATTTGCGTTTTTTCCAATTATTATCCTATAAAATTTTCTAAGTTCAGGAATCCACCGACATAAGCTTTGACATTGAAAAAAACGTTCAAAAGATGAAATATTGAAATATTGCCGCCCATAGATTACAAACACATATAGCAGGCGCCGCCTTAATATTTGATACGCGTATCTGCTATTATTGGACTCAACAGTTTGAAGCAGAAAGCATGCCTGCCAAGCAACTGACACGCCTCGAATTTCAGAAAAGAATTTACGACTTTTATACATCCATTTGATTTAAGAGGTGTCCAGGATTGCTTCAAGGCGAATATTACCGTTTCGTAGTTCTAAAAAAGATACCAATTCCCAGTAACACATTCTTGTTTTCGGTTTTAAGCAGGTTAAGCGCTCACGACATAGGGCAGGAGGGGTCTCGGATAGGCTCTTGTTTTGATTGATTTCTTTGATTGCATTTTCAAATTTTTACAGTTTTCATTAATTTTATTTAAATCTGCCGATGCGTAGATGCGTACCAGTGCATTTATCTGTAATGAGAATTTCAATATTCTCTTTGCGGTCACACACATTTTGTACAATACTGTAGGCAGAAAGGTTTGTTTTTAATTGAAAAAAATCCGTAAGAGTCTTGATTTCTAATAAAAGCAAGAAATTAATAAATAAATGAACAAAGCTAGATATCAAACTAGTTAAAATTCGATATTGAAGCAAAGCCAACTTTTGATTATTCTACACCACAATGAATACTACTATCTAAATCATATAACTTAATTCAAATTAAGACTTTTGATAGCGTAAAACTGACTTTTTTAAGAAGGATTCAAAACTGAACAGTGAACTGAGGGGGTTCACATGTAATGTTGTTAATACCTTCCTCTGTTCTAAACACATATATTTCAAAAAAATAGATTTAGTGGCCATATGAAGCCTTACTTTTCATGGAAGACATCACGAACTGCGAAAAAATACGCGAACACGATCCATATTTATCACAGTAAATTTCAGTTAGGAAATCACTATTTCTCCTGAGCTATTTTCATCATAAAACATTAAAAATTAGACGTAGTTACCATATTTCCCGCAAGAGCACTTAGATGGGAGGGCTTTATGCAAAGATGAATTTATAATGTATTGCAACGCGTGCGTTGAATGCGTACTTCATATCGATTAAATTCGCCAAGGCTTGATAGTTTCAGACAGAATCTACTAGAAAACCATAGTTGGAATGAAACTCATACGCATAATCGCTTACATACCGGCGTATATATGCAGATAACTTTGTTAGGGCAGCTGGTAGCCATTTGTGTTCCATATCTATATATGAGTAATCCGTACTTATTTGGGAAGTCAAAGCCTGTTGCTGGCTTGGAAATATTTGCCACCAGGAAAATGAAGGCAGACTTACGACGTAGATTTAAGTTAATGTTTGTTAATATCCTTTCCAAAGAATCGATTCTTGAGCCATTGGCTGCGATTAATGTTATACCGCGAGAGATTGCCTTTAGGAAAAGACAGAAATTTCAACGTCATTCTCGACTAACTCTAACCTTGCTCGTTCTTTTTATTGTAGCAAATTATACCACGATGTGCCTCTGAGTCACTTTTAAAAATTTAGAATTTAAGTTCATTTAAATATTCAAATAAAATAGCTATATAAAAATATGATATGTAATGTATAGGCCATAGACTTTTTGGAAACGCAATATGAAATAGTTAAATGAGCCCTGAAGCGATTAGGGTCAAAGTTACGTTGAGGAAGGTAAACATATTCGGTAATTGTTCTCAGAGCATTTGTGAGCGTTATCCCTCCTTCTGCGTTTTCTTCTACATCATTTGAACTAGTTTAAAGGCTTGTTGTAGAATTTTTGTTTGACAGCACTATAACAATACTGGCCTTCAATAATCGCTGTGAAGAAAGGAGAAGCAACTGCCAGTTGTTTATGAACATAGATACATTGACCCTCCATTTCCAAAATAAAGTCGAAATGCTGCGAAAATGAAGAGTCTTACATCAGATTTTAAAGTCATTATCAGTATAAACTCCGGCCTCACCGTTTCATCCCGACATTGTTTATTTAAAGAGGCTATGAAGAAAGATCAGAGAATAAGCGGATATAGTGGGGGTGTAAAACCGCGGCTCTGCGAGAGCAAGCCGATGGAGTTACCACTCGCTTCAGCTAAACTCTAAAAAAGGAAAAGCTCTAAGCGCATAAGTATCGTTTTGCCTCATACGAGATTATAGCGTATAGAACTTCAGGAATTTATAAAAGTTGATATATTCAGAAAAAGACAACAGACCAAATTATGTTTACGCGAACCCTTTGTCGTTAAAGAAATTGTTGAAAACATTTGTTTTCGTATTTACGAGTTCGTCATTGCGATTGGTTGCACAAGGTCCGTAGGGTAGCTTATATAAAGCTGATAGGCAAGAAACACTTAAACTTAGGAACCTTGCCTCGATTCAAATTTCTCGCATTTATTTAAAAACGAAAACCGTAAGCCGAAATATGAAAAATAGGGAATTTTTTCGCGTACGATCTTGGTCAAAATAGGATTTTACAAGAGAAGTCATGGTAAAAATGCTTCGATCCAACACACTTTGGGAAGCGTCTGTCTTCAGTGCAGCATATCAGTGTAAAAATTGCATGAAAGCATCTCGAAACTGCGATCTGCATCTTAAATATAAAGACATATGAGCCGCGATTTGTATAATGAAAATATAGTCCTTGTGAGTGTTGCATACTTTCGCATAAGCTTGGCGCACTAATAGCGTGGCACAGAGTATAAGAATACGAAACCCATTTCGATACTGACAGCTTAGATGTAAATGCGTGCGCCCCGTTTCACGCTGCGAGCTATAAACTATCACTTAATGCCTGCTGCGGCTATGGTTGCGAGCGTATAACCTTCATTTCATTTCATTTTTAGAGATGGTCTGTAACCATCAACTAAAATCGCATACGCGAAACTCAGATTTTCTAACATAATTTTCCCTTTCGCGAAGCAAAAGTATCGAAAAGACGTACAGATGGATCACGGGACTTTCCCTCCAACTTATTATTTCATAGGCTAACTTCTAGCTGGTTTAGTAAAGCCTTACTTTTGAGTTGGCTGTATACAAAGATACCGTTCCAGACTTTGGCTTATGTTCAAGGGGACAAATACTTGAAAAGATAATTAACGATCACTTATACGCTTATAATGTTTCACAGTTAGGTGAATACTTGAAATTTTCTTCTTTTTTTTTATTTCGTGCAATTTATTTTACTAATTTAAAAAATATCAACACTTTATGTAACGAAAACAATATCAGCGTCAGTTGCTGTATCATGAAACACCTCATAATGTAATTCACCACCGAGTCCAAGAATTATTCCAAACCTAGTACATAGCACCCGAATCGTAGAGTGTAGAACCTTAACTTTATCGTACGAATCTCAGTAAGTTTTTAATTTTAAAAAATCATAATTTATCTTAACTTTTCCTCTTGCACTCCTGTACGTATATATATACTTGTATATATGTTTGTATATATTTGTATATATACAAAGTATATTGCAAAGCATTAGAGCTTTAAAGCCATAACGCATTATGGGTTTAGGTAGCTTTAGATGAAGCACAAAAGTATTATTCAAAACTACCTGGCAAAAAGTTTGGCCGTGACGTGGTAAATATTGTAGTGGATTCGTAGTATAGTGAATATTATTTTTTAATTACCTTTTATATAACATTTTTATTTCCACTTATTAAGAAAAAATCAAGGCTTATAACAAACAGTCCAGCTGCAGCAATCTAATGGACAAAAGCAACTCAATCAATTGGTTTGAAATTAAGTTTATAAGTCCTTTTCAATTTCTTCGCCCCCTATCCACACACCAACCCTCTCTTACTCTCTATTCATGACTATTAATAATAATCTAGTCTAATTCTAATGAAAACTTGAAAACATCAACTGTTTTCCAGTAACGGTTTAATTTCCATTTTTCGTATTTCCTTTTGAGAATAATTTCTAATTAACTCCGACTCTCTATCTTTCTCTCCCTCTCTCTCTCTTTCTCTCTCTCTCTCTATCTATCTATCTGTCTCTCTGTGTCTCTCTCTCCGTAACTGTTTAACAAATAAACACAAATTGTTTTTAAATCGAAAATTTTTTAAAACTAAAAATTTTATTAAAACAAGATTTTTTCTTATTTTTGTTTTTTTTTTTTTAGTTCTTGTTTCCCTTAACGCCAAATTCAATTATTCGAATTTTTAATCGATTAAAATTCTTTTTTCCTTTTTCTTCTACTTTTCTTTATGATTTATTGTAACAAAAATATCAAATTGTGGATTTTCCATTTAACAAAAATCGTATGAATCGAATTTCGATAAATTTCAATAAATTTCTGTGTGATTCAATAATTTTCTCACTGCGTTCAATTGTAACAAACGAAATTTGTTAATGAATTAAAATAAAAAAACAACACTGAAACTAAAAAAAAAAAAAAAACTATAAACAAAACAAAAATACCTCCATAACTATGACAATGACAAAGATGATGTTCCAGGCAAAGTGGACGAGAAAGCAACACAATTGCATGCCATCGCCTCGTTGAAGGTTTTACTGGATGCGACTAAACCGCAAAGAGGTGGAGCAACAACTTCAGCAGCCAATCATGTCAAAATCAATCTAAAGGAAACTACTCTGGCAGATCGTCCCAATGGCAATATCGATACCACATTGGATTCGGTAAGTCCAAAAGATTCTTATTTAATCTTTCCTATTTATGCATTTATAACTAGCCCTGAATTACGTATAGCGTACGTTTCGCATTAAGCAGATACGAAAAGCATAATTTAAGGCACAACAGCGTACAAAATACAAAATTCACTCCTCTGTACATTCAATTTTTTTAATGATTAGAACGTAATCTCTTTCATTGGAATTCGAAATTGATTTTTTTTAATTATTTAAAAAAGTTTACCATTCAAAATTCATCTTTAAAGTCCTAAATTAAGCTTTAGTATTACGTGCATTGCTTACTCGTAATTATAGAAATTAACGAAAACGGAAAATTAAAAAATGTCACACACTGTCTATTGCATTTTTTGGAATTTATATATTAATTTCCATTTATTTTATATTCTCCTAAATGAAAAACAAATTTCAATTTTTCCAATAACATCCCAATGCATCAAGGGACCTTTCATTTCATTGCATCCTCGATGTACATTAGAAAGAAATATGTACAACTTTTCGATTTATGTTTGGATTGCGTTATCGCCTTAAAACTTCTCATTATAAACAATAATTTTCTCTTTATGTTTGCTTTACTAATGATTGTTTTAAATAAACATTTATCATAGAACATTGAAATCTCTCCTCTCGCCGTCTTAGGTTTGATAGTTGGAAGTTTGTGCGCAAACAATATTAAAACGATACAAAATAAAAATTTACATAGAAATTGAAATGCATTCTCTTCCCTATAAACATAAAGGTTACACAACAAGTCAAGCTTGTCAGTTGACCAAATTTTTGGCACCAAATCTGTTGACGGTTGCGATAGGCATCTGAGATATTTGACGTATTTGATATAAAATGTGAGATAATGACAGCAACATTTTTATACCAAGTCTGTTAATGGCTGCGGTAAATATCTGAGATATTTAGCGTATTTGATATAAAGTGAAAGTTGACGTAGCATAACTTTTGGGACAAATCTGTTGTCGACTACGATAAATATGTAAGATATTTGAAGTATTTGATATAAACTGCAAGTGAGAAATAGCAAAAATTTTCAAATTCTTGTATTCTTCGACCTTTTCCGAGGAATATTACTTCCATTCTAAATTGTGCTTGAAGTCATTCACAAAGAGAAAGCATACTTTCTAATCTTATAACTGAAAAATGTTGACAGAAAGGAACATTTGCTCTAAAATGTAAAAAAAATGTGCATAGGAACTTACTCAACCTTGAGCTAATCGTTTAAGCTTTACCATGAAGTCCGTCTGATTTATTGATGTATTAAGTAATCGAAAAACTTCGCGACGTTTCTTCAGCAAAATTCAAATATATTTTTCTTATGTTGCGAACGAATTGTATTAAACCAAATGTGTAGCGTTCAACTTTTCCACTTTAAAAATGAAATTAATTGTCTGTGTATCATTTTATTTTGGAAAATGTGTTTTTCTTTTTTGTTTTGCGTTTCTCTTTAGTGCCTCGTTCTGTCAGACGAAAGGATGTATCGCAAAGTACATATATATTTAATTTTAGATAGAGAAATTTTAATTTTGTTAAGTTAACTGTATATGACTATGTGTCTGTGCACCCTTATCGTAGCCATTGCTATACTTATGCTTCAAAAGTTTAAGCAGGAAGCAAAAATTCAGTGCAGATATACCTGGTTGTTGTTCGTGAAGACAGACGTAATGTTAGATCTGCAGGTCTTTTATTTTACTTCTCTCGTAGTCAAAATAATCAAATTTTTTCAGACGTAATACCAAATACAACGCTAAATACAGCCGGCAATAATGATTTCACGCCCAGCGCTTTTTATTAAAGTGGAATAAGTAAATATTTATTATTCCTGTTTACGAGGTATGGGGTAAAATGTTCATTTGTTGCTTTTGACGACAAAAATATAATTTTTACTTTATATTCTCCTACTATGGGCGTGTCCTTTACGGCCAATTTAATACCGATACCTCCCGATTTTCCGACTAGGCGAATTTTGACCACAGAGATCGCCCAGGTAGTTGGACAGACGGACACGTTTAAAACAATCCAGAATTTGATGCTGACGAACAGTTTATTAATGTAGTCTATGGGATCTCTGAATTGTCCTTCTCGTGTTGCAAATGAATTTGGACAAAATGGCTTTACCCGAAGACTAAAGAGATATTTAAAGATCTTTTCATGTAATACAACAAAGTTTCAAATATATCCGCAGCACATCCTCCGCAATTCTAGTTTTTAAAATGATCTAAATATGGACTCTATAGCTATGATTGCTCATCACGCAAAGTTAAATATCGAGAATTGAAGATTTCTAGGAGCCTTGTCGGATAGGGTGCTGTGCCTTTAATTTACCTGAAAAAGAAATGACATTTTTTAACATATGTGCTTCGATTATTCACATACCTTTCATGTGCTGCATGCTACTTGTACGGTTGTATGTTACTCTCTTTACTAATTAAAAAATTTAAATAAACAACAAAAAGGCAAACAAACAGAAACAACAAAGTATAGGAGCTATATGCATCTCATATGCATCGGGAAGTAAAAGTATATATATGTATATGTATATATATGTTTTGCGTTTATCATATATTATATGTTTCTTTAACAATAATAATATTTTCATAACTTTGGAACGATTTAAAACTTTAAATGCAACGATTTTGTGTGACTACAATTGTACTTGAAGAAATGAAAAATTATTTTTTCTATGATTTCCTTTAAAATACGTATTTATTATTATGAAACTTTTCTGTTACGACATATATTCTTTACATATATTCTCTCTCTTTCTGTAATTTACGGCGTGTGTACGAAAAGTCTCCATCAACACTTTACCGTATGAATTTCTTTTAAAATATTATTTCGGAGATTAATTTTTTTACTATTTTTTTTATTTTGGTATCTGTTTTTACTTTCGTTCATTATTTCATTAATTTATAATTCTTTCTCCTCCATCCGTCATCGAGACCTGGTTTGATCGATATAATTTTTCTCCTTTTAATCATAATTTTTCGTAGTTTGAAAATAGTTTTTCAATGAAAAATAAAAGCAAACAAAATTCATTGAATAAATTTTCAACTGTTGCTGTAAGAGATCGAATGAAAATTATTAGAAAAAATTAACATGGATTTTTGTTTACATTTTCAAAAAAGTTGCAATATTTACTATCTCGCAAAAGCAATCCACATCGCACGCATCGTCATACTGTCGTGATTTTAAAACTTGAATTAATGCAAAAAGTCTTTTCTAATATTTCAAGTTTGGCTATCAGAAATAAACAAATTATCGACATAATATGTTTATGGTGTGCATCCTTCACAGAAAGGAGAAAAACCCGCATTTATCCTACAGTTATATAGGATTTTGCAAAAAAAACTGGCACGATTTCTTAAGAAGAAACGAGACAAGAAAAGCGCACCATGAGAATAAGAAAACCATACAAACTTTTTCATTTTCACATCAATCACTAAAGGATAATCTTGTCAAAGCATTTGCAACGCCCAGCACGAAGCATCAGAGACCCCGCATAATATATATATTCTTGATCAGCATCGAAATCTAAATCGATTTAAGCATGTCCGTCTACCCGTCTGACTGTCTGCACACCTGACTGTTTGTCCGTCTGTGTAATGTCTCTTGTAAACATTCCCTGGCCGGAAAAAGAAAGCTCTCGACTTTTTCTATATAGCTGAAACATTGAAAGTTCTTGCACGCACGTTGATATTGAAAATGGGCCAAATCGGTCAAAGGACATGCCCACAAAACTACGTAAACTGAGAACGCTTCTGTTTTTCACAGGAAATGAAAAATTGGTTTTTCCTCGCTATTCATAAACCATAGCGGATAAATGTACAAAAATTTTAAACGCATTTTCTATGGCCCATGCTGTAACATAGAGGAATTTCTTCAAATAGGCTAACTGTGTACATGTCCACAACCGGTTGTTGTTTGAGCCACCATCGATCAATTCACGCAAAGATTTCGTGTTCGCCATTCAGCGTAACATGACCTGCCTTCTTATTTTCAAAGGAATAAAAACTGGCGATGCCATCAATTCGAAAACTACACTAAACGGTCAGTTTAATAACGTGTAGAGGTTTCTCGTAATTTGTGAACGAATTTTTTTTTTAATGAGTATCGGAGATGCTCATCTGAGAAGACAATTTCCGTACGAGGATCGCTAACAGTGTTTACGCGATGGTGGTTCGAACCGATCATAGCTAGCGATGCGGATAGAAACACGCTTACGATGATCGATGGCAATGGTAACTTGAAAAATGAAAATAATTTTTCTGGTTTTTTTTTTTTGGCAAGTCTGGGCGCTGACATTCTGTCCGCATTGTATTTCATTAGGTAATAGTTGTGTGAAATATCAGATGAATTTATAGGTAGTCGTTATATACATGCATTTTTATTTAATGAGAAAGTGTCTGAACGGCAGTGCCTTCTTTTTCCACACCAAGTTCCGCGTTTTTCATACCAATTGAAATTAATAGAAAATTTAATAATAATAATAACAATAAAAAATAAATGGTAATCTTAACACTACGATTACCTATAAAGTGTCAAAATTAATTTTTCATGGGCAATAAATATTTTCACTGCTTCTATCGACTATAGTAATTAAATTAAAAATTTTTTTTGAAGAAATGCGAAATATGTTTTCATTTGCAATAAAGTATCTATTCATTTGAACAAAAAAAATAATAAAAAAATTAATTTTCATTTTTGAGAACGAACTTACACAAAAACTAATATTCATGCTTATTACTTAAGTAATAAAATTAAAAATTATTTTTAAACGCTTAATGTTCTGTAGATCCGTTTATGCGGAGAATGCGCATATATAATCAAAATTTTGTAAATTTTATTTTCTTATTTTTTTATTTTTATTCTAATACTTTAGACGGTTAGTCGATTTCAATTTATGGCGGATTTTTTTTTTTATGCTTTTTAATTTAAATTATATATAAATAAATGAAGCGATAATGTTGATAATAAAATTTTATTAAAGAAAAAATTCCAAGTTGGGTCGTGAACATTCAGCTGTGATCAAATTTGCGAAAGAAAATTATAGATAAAAATGTATAATTTCAAGGAATTTCCCCTTTATAACAGAAATCTCCCTCTTTCTCCTTTTATCTTATTATTTGTTTAAATTCTCTAAAAGCCGCCGCTCCTTCTCTCTTTTCATTTTTCTTTAAGTTAATACGAAATGATTTTTATTGTTATACATATATATTTTTCTAAATATTAAATATTAATATAACAAATTAATAAAACATATCTAAACCTATACATACATATATATAAATTTTTTTCTTCTTAACCTACTCTTTCTCTACCTTATGTTATATTTTTAAAATATCGATTATTTTCTCTAACAAATATTTTTAATAAACATAAATTTGTTTAAACAAAAAAAAAATAAAAAAATTTACAAATTTAAAGCCATCGTTGAGTGGTCGTCGTCCAAGCTGGATTGATCAGAGGGTCAAAATTCAAACGCGAAAATTTAGCATCAAAGTTAGTCTCATTCCAAGTCGAATTATTTTTTACATTTTGTTTCTTAGTCCTACTTTTTAAAGCCAGTACTATAAATAATTATTTCCCTTTCTTATTTAAAATTGATTTTTCCCACTCTTTTTTCATAGCTGCCTTTATCAAAAAAAAAAAGTATAATATTAATTATAAAATACTTTCAATTAAGTTTTTCGATTTTTTTTTCTATTTTTATTTTTATTTTCGCTTAAAACCAAGAATTTTTATTATATATATTAAGTTGTAATTTCTATTCTCAAATTGCCGTTACATTATAGCGCCACTGTATATTATATGTCATATATTATATTTTATATATTATATATCACATTATATAGTCAATGTATTATATATAATATATTCCTATATATATTTTCATATATTATATATTATATATCATATATTACGTTGTATAATATATTGTATTATACACATTAAAATAGCGTGCTTATCGTATATATGTAGAGCATATAATTTCACCCACAACCTAATTTCATTGCAATCTGTACACCAGCCAATAAAGACAAGACTTAAAGCCTAGGTGAAACCTATACATACCTGATCGATACAAAGCTGTGCCAATCGCCAATAGGAATTGGCCACCACTTTATAGCTACGTCATTCATGGACTCATCTATAGTTGGGTTTGTCGCGATCACAAAAGTTGCAATAAAAAGTCGAGCTTGGCATATACCCACACACATGTACATTTAGGTGCATTTCAATAGGATCCAGGTTGAATATAAGCACGAGTCATCCACAACTAAGGTCAACTATGACAAAAAAAAATACGAAAAATTGAAAATACGAAGTCCCTAAAATGCAATTAAGAAAAGGTTTTGCTTCTTCGACTTCCTGAGCTAGTGGATAGGCAAGATTCGGCTTAAGGCGGATATTACTCAACTAATTGTTTCTATGGAATTCATTTTAAATCGAAAACGGTGCAATTAGTAATTGTAGATAGATACCGAGTTGAAGTGTTTTCGACCTGTGCATGGCACTATTTGCAAAGCTAGCTGTCATAATTTTAAATGTGGTAATCGTACTACGCTTGCAGATATTAACGCATTTTGATTTATATCTTCTTTTTTTTGAATTGAAAACAATTGAAACTGAAAAAGTACAGAGTTTCAAACAAGGCGTGTATCCTGCATTTTCAAAGCATTTGACAAATAAGAATAATGATAAACTTGAGCCACTATTGACTTCCCTGAGTGGAAGAAGAAATGGAGAAAACTCAATCGCTAATAATTCAGGGAGCACTTGAATTTTCTCTGATAATTCCTTTTCCTCCAGAAATTTTGCTAAAAAAATCTAGCGAAATCAAAGAAACAGAAGAACTTAACAGTGTCGCTGCAAAACAACGCAACTTTTAATTTCAAAGCAAACGTGGCCTTTGCATTTAGTAAGCGAACCTAGAGCCGTACTTGAATGAAGAACTTTTTAAAAAAAATCCACGAACTCGTTGTTACTCAGTCTTGAAAACACTTATTAGGCATTTCTTTTTGAAAATCGTAGTAAAACATCAACACATCAATAATCACGATAGTCGTAACACAAGTGGTTATCTACCCCTTCCATCTACGTACTTGCGTATTATCATCGGCGTTCGCAAAACAAGAGAGTAAATACATTTGTCTGAGGCTAAACTTTTCAATGGCCATCCCCAGATTACGTACGGTAGTTGATTGCAAAGTGGACTGGGAATTCATTCGCTTTATAAATCATATTAAATCTGAAAACTTTCAGAAATGTATTTCTATTTCTAAACTATTTAAACGAACCAATGATCGGATCACTTTTTTGATCACTTTCCGTATAATGCGTTATTTTTAAAAGTATTTTTATTAATAACTGTAATGTTGGGATCCCACTGTAGTCTGTTTACTTTTTGCTTTTTATAGGTAAACACATTTCTATTAAGTTTTTTAAAATTAAGCATTCAACCATTTTTCCTCCCTCTATATATAATTATTTATGTAGTCTTAAGTTAATAATTTCATGATTGAACTTAATTTACAATTTTAACTTGCCGTCTTATTTTATATGATATTTTTTATTTACCTAAAATTAAGTCCTTTGAAATTTGCGATTTAAGGATTTTAAATAAGTTTTGCATTAAGGCTTAATTTATCTGATTTATTATTTTCGATCCATTTTAGATGTAAGACTACATAAATATCGAATAAATATATAATAAAATTCTCCAAAGCAGGATTAGTCAATAGGGAAGACTGGTTCGCCAATATTAGATGAAAGAAAACTTTGTGGCGCTTCGCTAAAAAGTCGGTTATCGTAAGGATCATTATTCCATACTATAGGACTTACGAAAACAACATTTTGCAATATTCCTTTGTCTAATGTGAACAAAATTTGCGGAATTAAGATACTTTATCAAAATCAGCAGCTCGCCAACGTCAAAGCCAAGCACGATACGCTCCTGTTGCCTGTCAACTGGTGACAAAATTAATGAAATTCTTCACCAAATCGGGAAAGATCGGACCAACTGATCGTATGACATCAGATAGGGATTTGAACATTGCAAACGGGCCTAGGGGTGAATACAAAAGTAACCCAATGTTTGAGTACAACAGAAATTAAAAGTGAAAAAGTCTGAAGGAGCGGATATCTAACTGTGAATGTGGTGCAATCCTTTATAAATAGATATCTCGATTGACAGCTTTTAGCCCATCCGTTGCATTGTCCTGGCTTTACAACGTCCAAGAGTCATTTATTTTGCTGTCTAAAGGCCTGTTTTAACGGAGTAAAACTGATTTCAATACTGGTCTCCGAAAATCATTTGGTTCACTTTTTCGCCCAGATATCATAGAAACCAGGCTGTCGATCAAAATGGCCCATAAAGAATTTAATACGACTTATTTAACATATGGGAAAATTGTGTTTGAATTTTGGTAAAAAAACGCCACCAACTTTTTCTGTTACCTATTAGTTAAAATAAATTTTACGGTCTTTCTAATTGTACGTAAGGACCTATGAGCGTAAAGTTTTCTCCCTAATCTGGAAGTAAGCAAAAACTCAGAAATAAGTTCCCTTTTATTATGTTGTACTAAGCAAGAGCACCCCGAATTTTACTTCGTTGCTATCCATTCATGTATATCATATGTGAAGGGTTCGACACATTACGCTACGTTACGTTACGTTACGTTAATTTCAAACTAACATATGTATCCGTCGTCCAGTAAGGACACAGAAATAAATGCCCTTCTAAAGGGAAAGTGTGATAGTATAAAGGACGCTTACTAGGAATAGACTTATTAAAATGCCAAGAAGAAGACGAGAGGTTTTCACCTATTGTTAAAATACACGATGGACGCCACACATAACAAAACCGTTTCAGTTTTTCAAAAAAAAAAAAAAACAAAAGAACTTTTGTTTTTGTATTTAATTTAGAAATTAGTTTTCCAAAGCATGTTGTTAACATTTTTCTTTCCACTTGTGTAGCTGAACGTAGAAGTAAAAAAAAAAAATTTTTTTTTTGTTGCTTTAATACGTTTGTACTTATTTTTATAGGCTTAACAAGCATTTTTAAGAAGCACTCATTTGATCGTTGTGCTATAAGCGTATACTTGTATATATATGGCGGACTATAAAATTTTGTTTTTTTTTTCAAATCTTTTGCTTTAAAAAACAGAAAATTGAACAAAACATACTTTACATAATTACACAGCATAAAGCGAACAATCGAAATAGGACTGAAAGATTGATTTCATTGTTATGTAATTAACGAAAAGAAGAAATGAAAAATCATAATTATAACATAATTTTTCACATTATTTCTAATTATTACTTACTTTACTTTATCGACATAATATTTGTATTAATTTCTTATCTTTTCTTTGTCTTTTATACCATGCACATATATATATATATATATGAATTATCTTTAACATTAACGCACACACCTACAATACATGAATATATATTCAAAATTTGTATTATCAGCTATCGAACCCACACTCATATAAAAAAGTATTTATCTACTTAAAGTTCCCGTACGATGAAATTAAAAATTATATTTATAAAACCTATAAATATTTTCATAATAAATTTTTCTTGTTTTTTGTAAAAAGAAAAAAAAAATTTATTTTTTAATTAATAAATATATATCGTAATTTTTGTTGTATACTAATATGTTAAGTTAAAAGTAAAACTTTAACTGATTGATTTATAGAAAAAAAAAATATTTCTTTACTGTACAAAATAAAGCAGCCCCAAGAAATTGAAGACGAACCAGAGCCACTAAGCATGGCTTGGCCAGATACTGCCCGTAAACGTCTTACCTATATACTAGTGGCTCCTTTGCTTATCCCGATGTGGTTAACATTGCCTGATACACGCACGCCTAAGGGCAAAAAACTATTTCCCGTTACCTTTATCGGCTCCATACTATGGATAGCTGCCTTTTCTTATTTAATGGTATGGTGGGCGAACGTCGCCGGCGATACAGCACGCATTCCACCAGAAGTAAGTTTCAATGCATAACACTTTTAAAAAAATTATTTTAAAATTTTTAAAACCGATATAGGTTATGGGCTTAACCTTCCTGGCGGCCGGCACCTCAATACCAGATTTGATTACATCTGTAATTGTAGCGCGTAAAGGTTTTGGTGATATGGCCGTCTCTAGTTCTGTGGGAAGTAACATATTTGATGTTACTGTCGGGTAAGTTTAAATTAATTGAATATATTTTCTTTATCTTATGGCCAATTAGCTCAGGCGATGTCCCCCTGTTTCCCGTATAAATACGGTGATGATCAGGCGGAAAGAAATAGGGAAAGAGAGACAGAGTACGGTCACAGCCATGCAGTTGAATGCCCGGTCGGAAGTGTTATGCCTTTACTGATCGAGCATTCACCGTAGCTATGGCTGAATACGTAACTATTTAAGAATCGGTCGGGCTTCGACAACTGGTTAGTGATTGAAGCTTCCAATTTTATCTTAAGCTGTTATCTGTTTTAGTGTTGACAACGGAAGCATTTTCCAAGTGCACCCATAACTAACTAAGTTCAGTTCTTTCGGATATAAGCAAATCCATTCTTCTTTTACATTTATAAAGGTAATTTTAAATGGATATGGATCCACCTATCTGTCCGCTATTCCGCGTTCAAGCTATTGGATAACATGCATGGGGATCTATTGACGAAATTAGGCCTATTCTGGGACACTATCTAGAGCGAATTGATTCAGCTCATTCTTGCTATACTTCTCCATATGCAATATCCTATTCTGAAAAAGTCGGGATGTGGGGACGACATTGGTCTATTTCTAGAAACCGCTCCCATAAAAAATTCCTCATTAAAAGTAAGCCCTTATATAATAACTTTTTTTAACCAATTAATAATGGATGTTAATGCCTATAGTGCAATAGGTAAGGGATTTTTAAGATATTGATTTTTATGTAATTGGAGGAAAACTTCTATTTTTGACGCCACCATATTAGTGACATCGCAAATGTTTCAAAGAATTGAATGTCGGTAGGCAGACGCCATGACGCCATGACGCCATGAAATTTGTAGCGTGCGCTAAAACTAAGGGTGATCGGCAATTGTTTCTTTTAGTAGGAAGATATCTCTTCATACGCTATCTATTCTTATTGAGAATTACGCGATATTATGCTCTTTTTCTCGCTCAAATAATGAAGAAATTTATTTGGTTTTTTTTCATTTGGAAATCCCTCTAAATGAACAGGAATACAGCAGAGCAACCAGTCTCACTGCGACGTTTAGGCATAAGCCTGTCTTTTGGAGAAAAAAATGTATTACTCACATGTTCCAAAGGGTTCAACCTATTTATTAAGACAAAAAAAAAGAAAAATTGATTTTCTAAAAATATTGCGATGGTTTACCCATTTGAGCGATCAACCGCTTTAACCGATTGCAGGATGAAACTTTGTTTCATTCACTTTTTGTTTTTGCATATAACATGCATGTATTATTTTGTATATATATATTTTTTGTATATAATATTATAATATATAAACGTACTTTCCGACTTTCATCTTAATGCGTTGTTATGAAAAAACATTAGTTTATCGCCTTATTTCCCATTTATTGCGTTTGTTAGTTGCGGTATGTTTTAAGAAAAGTTTTATTTATTTTAATCTTCTAACGACGACCTTCGGTTGTTGATAGCGTTCACTTTTGATAGAGAATTTTATGACAACAAAGTTTTGTGCCAAAAATATTTCCTTTTCTTGCCTTTAGACTTCCTTTACCGTTTTTTTAATGGCATTTCAAATGCATATAAATTTTGAAAGCCTTCATTCCTTCGCCCGACATAAAAAGTGTTTATAAAAGCTTTTCCTTAAACTAATTAAACTCGCTTACGAAATATTAATTTAAAAAAAAAAGCAAATGAAACTTTAAACTTATGAGTACATTCAGTAGACAAACGGTTTCGTTTTCATGTCACAAAAGTGCAGGACATTGTTTTATTGTTTCCATTTTCGAAAACCGTTGAGCGACGATGTTTTGGGAATTTTTGCTATTTTAACAAAGTGTTTACAGCAGTTTACAACTGTTTAAGACTGTTTAATGACATTTTATATACTTTCGATCCGGAATTTCGCTATTTTAACAAAGTGTTTACAGCAGTTTACAACTGTTTTTTGACAGTTGAATATACTTTTTGTAATTCTTCGTCTTGCTCACACAATTTAGGGTTGTCAAAGATTGCTAAGGCTTTGGGTAAACCCCTTTAACATTCTACAAATTTATTTCGCTGCAAGTAATTTGATACGCAAAATTAATGATTAAGTGTTCACCTGTTATAATCTTTAAGGCGATGACGACTTCGCTGAGGTGATGTTATTTCTAAAAATTCTCTGCGGATTAAAACAGGTACACGAAACCAAATATCAAAAGGTATATAAATATATGAGATAGTTTTCAAAAGGTTATTATTCTGCAAGTGTTCGATAACGAAAGTACGACAAGTTTGAAATTGAACGAATAAAGACGAGAAAATGTCAATTGCTTCCTGTGCGGATATTGAAGAATTCATGAAGGATCCTCTAATAACTTGGTTCGAATCGTGTCTACCAGCTACCGACAATTTACGCGAATATTCCTCTTTATTGGATGGACAACTTCTACATAATGTCTGGTTACAAATTGATCCGCATCCACCTGCACATCCATTGGACATCAGTAAAACTGTAGTTTCATCTTTGGCAGTGGCAAGAGCTAAGAACTTCATGTGCATTGTAAACAATATCAAGCAATTGTACGAAGTTTGTTGGGGCAAAACCATACTACTGCTACCAGATTGCCTTACGCTCGCTTTTCAACCCGAAACTAAAGAAGGCGTAAAACAAATGACGCTTCTATTATCATTGCAATTAGGAGCCGCAGTTCAATGCCTTCATAAACAACTATTCATAGAACGCATTAAACAGTTCGAGATTGGAACGCAACACGGATTAATGGAAATTATAAAATCAATAACGGATAAGTACACTGCAGCACTTGACGAGGACGGCTTAGATCCTTTAACCATGTTGTACATTATTAAGCAACTAACCACAGACCGCGATAATTTCTATCGAAATTGTTCGTCTATTATGGAAACTAGCCAGGCGACTCAAGGCTTGCTTGCCGCGGATGCGGAGTTCAATGCCATTTCATATGTTGAGTTTGCGAACTTGAAATTAAAATTGCAACAACTGCAAAATGAATTAGAAGCAAAGTCGGAAAATCTCTTTGTAGCACAAGAACAATTAAAGCATAAGGACGAGTTTTACGAAAAACTGCGTTCGGAAAATCAAGAATTGTATTGCGAAGCGAAACGTGCTCTTATTTATCGCGACGAATTGGACGTCTTTAGAGAACGTGCGGAAAGAGCAAGTTATCTGGAAATTGAAACCCAAAAATTGAGAAAGAAGCTGGACGATCTAAGCCACTATAAACGACGCGTGGATGAACTGCTAGAGGAGAAGCGAACGATTTTAGAATCGAACGATTTATTGGAGAAACAACTTGAAGAATGCCGACAAAAATCTAAGCGCATCATGGCTCTGGAATCCGAACTTTTGAAATATAAAGAAAAACTCGAATACGTGATATTAGAAAGAGAGGCAACCCATTCGAAAATGGCAGAATTAATTAAGGAAAACGCTCAACTGCATTTACTGAGTAAGCCTTTCAACAGCACAACATCCTTAAATAATTCGTTTCTAATGGAAGAGAATGATGCGCTAGATACCAGTTTATTAGAAGAAATGAGAAACAATGGTAAGAGTGAAAATAAGAAACTTGATGGTAAACAAAAAGAGTTTAACGAGCTATTTAAAGAGCGAATCAAAAAAAAACAAATGCATTCAAAACAAGTTCAAAATACAACTCAGTGTTACGTCAAAGAAACTTCGCAACCGGCACGATTGACTAAGCCGTCTATGGAAGGGAATAATAATGTGCAAAATTTTTTAAGCCAACGTCGGGAGGACACAAACCGATCACAATTAGTAATTAGTAGCTTGCAACGCCGCATGGATGTGCAAATCGAAGGTGACGTTAAAAAACAGATTTCTGGTTATGAAAATGTAAACAAAGTGTTTCCAAAAAAGTTCTACAACTTGGAGAAAAACCTCGATAATGGAAATGGGACCATTGAAGCGTTAGGCTCAACGTGTCATCTAACAAATATTCTGGATTCAGTTGACGAGCAGCAAGTCACTTCTAGGAAAACAAACGATCGAGAGAGAGGAAGCTCAACCGTAGTATCGAAAAAGCCTAGCAATATAATCGTATGCGCACAAGAAAATGTTGAATCGATTAGTTTGCGAGAAACTGGCAACCAACCATGCGCATTGAATGCGGGTATGGAGTTTTTCACACAAAAGCAACTGGTAGTAATAGTAAAGAGGTTGCAAGAACAAAACGCTCAGCTGCAAAATAAATGTAAGATTTTATCGGAAGATGCAACGGACACCTTCAAGAAATATCAACAATTGCTTACATTATCGCTAGAAAAAAGCAAACATTTTCACGAAGAAGAAAAAACTTACGCCGAACATGTTCTCAATATAAATCGCGAAAAGAAGGATCTGCAACAGATAGTCAAACAACCTGGTAGGCAATCGACGGTCATCAATTTAGTTAGACGGGTGAAACTAGCAGGCACTAATCTAATCAGCAAAGTAAGTGAGATTCCAACTCGTGTTAAACGGGTCGATCTCGATAAGGAAGAAACTGGAGAAACCAAAGTGAAGTCGCTTTCTTCTTCGAGCCCCCAGAACGTTAATAAATTTAGTTTCAATAACTCACTGCCATGGGAGACGCTACGCAATGGATCCTTTCGAAATTTTCAAGACGATATAATTTATTAGAGAAAATGTAGAAATTAAGCAAAATCAGGCAACACAACACGCACACACGCATGTGTCGACTCTTGATATAAAGCAATCAAGGGTAACTCGTCTTATGAACTGTTGCTAGTGTAAGGAGTAAAATAACAATAAATGAATAAATATATATTCAGCTTTTCATGGAAAACTGGCCTTTTTATTTGAAAGTGAATCTTGTTTCGCAGTATGCAATGTCGGCAAGTCAAATAACCTCTTGTAATGAAAGTGCGCTAAGATAGTTAGTTAGCGGTGGAAGTCGATCAGGTGTAAGACCTATGCAATGAAATTGCTTCGAAAACTCAATCTCACATGCACGAAT